TGCTACCTACCGTAAAAATCGTAAAAACAAGCTACCGTACCAACCGTACCCCTGCCTCAGTTCATAACCCCTACTATAACAGCTAATGGCCTTAGTCGCCGGGCTTAAGTTCAATAAAAAAAAATCAAAATAAAAAAACATTAAGGTTATTCGTGTAAATTCTACAAGACGGTTACAGTTTCCTTTACAATAAGGATGATAAATTGATAACGTATAGTCACAGATAATTTTCTTTTTATGTTAAATTTGATTTGACGGTCCGTTTTGACAACGGTAATATTAGTAAAATACATTTACGATTGGAATTTGTATGATGAGAAAGATAAGGGAAGCTTTCATTAATTGCATATAACATATACAAAATACGTATATTATTTTATAGTCACAAAAGCCCGCGATAGAATATTAATTTATAACAATATACAAAAGTTTCATTTTGTACATGTTGTTTCTCCAATGACTCCACTTGTAGGCTTAATAAGCCTGGGGTACATTTTTCTGGGAAGAGGAGGGCATTCTGTGGTAAAATTAAAAATCCAGGAGGTAAAAATCATTGCCCATTGCGCTGCCTCAATTAAATACCCAGAATTAATGTTCGCTTAAATATGTTTGTATTATGATTTTAAATACGTGATTCAATTTTCAAAATAATTGAATTTTTTTTTAACTGTCTAGTTATTATGGACGCATGCTATTTTGATTTTTTTACTATACATTTTCTATAAAAAAAAAATTATAGCTTGATCAAATTCAAAAAAAAAAGTTTTTAGAAGGTTTATGGATACAAGCTTTTCCTTTTATCTTTTTATTGACATTTGAAGTTTGGACGAAATTAGATATTCAAAGAATAACAAAGGACAACGATTTTAGTTATTTTGTTGTTAAGAATTTTACTCGCAGAAACTTGATACTATTTTCGTAGTTAGGTATATATTATAATATTTTATACACACAATGATATTTTCAAACGTAATGTTCTCAGCAAAATGTATTCAACCTACAGCAATACCAATGGTAAAATAAATTATTACTATATCATGAAGTATTCTTTATTAATATAGTTATATTTATTTAAACTGACAGACCGACCGAGGATGGTTTTTCGTTGAATGCGTTGAAACAGCAATCCTTGAATTCAAATTTATCTCATAAATTCAGTGTCGGGTTAGATTAACTATAAGTTACTGTAACAAAATCACTTTTTAAAGTTATTTGATGGTAATTTAATTACGTTTTACTGTAAGTAACTTATTTAAGCAATGAGTTGTTGATGCATCATTGCACAGCACGAAAAACTATTCTGAGCGGAGACGCCGGGTCCTCCTATATGAATTATAAAATTTAATAATTAAAAAAAAAAAGTTAATAAAAACGAAAATATATTATGGCTATTTAAATATCGTGAATTTCTATTAAATTTCTAGTAAACTTTTTTTCTTTATTGTCAGAGGAATGAGAAATTGTGGGAAATCTTCCATTACAATTTCTAATGTGAGCTACGGAAAGAAAAACTCTTATGAATTTCTAACTGAAAACTCTTTTGCAAATTTTCGAGCTTTTATACAGATTACAATAGTTACCGAAGTAAAAAGATTACCCAAATACCTAATTGTTTTGAACTTTTTTGTGGAATCATATTTTATCGAGGTGTTGTATTGAAATACGTTTAGATTTCGGGAAGAGCTTGGCACTCTCGCATAGCTGCAGCCTTCCCCGACTTGTTTATTTGTTTTAGTTTAAACAACTGATTAGCCGTTTTAATTGTAAATAGTAATTAGTGAAACTTCCATAATGCAAATGTGGGTGGCAAAAAAATTAGTATACCTATCATAGTATTAATTGTGTATAATATATTGTAGAGAAATCGGTTAAATAAATTGTGTTCTAATTTGGTTTGGTTCTCAAAAATATTTCGTTAAACAGAAAATGTTGTGGAATGCAAGTTATTTTGTGAAACGATCACTTTCGTAATAATTATGTGTTCAAAATATTTTTTCGGTGATTAAAACGAGTGTCCAAAACGAGCTAAAATATCATGAGACGTTATTATTTCTATATTAATATATAAGCACACACATTATAGCGACCTCGGGGTCGAAACGGCCGTAGAAAACGAACAACGTCCGAAACATAATGATTTAATCATTACAAATTATTAATAATAATACCTATGTGCTCTTTGTTATTAATTATTATTTCCATATCGTTTTCTACGAACAAACTACAAAGTTTAATCGCGCCGTGAAGGCACAGTTATTACTGAATTACCAGATTAATCTGTATTATTGCGATGTCGATCTATTATTATTATTATTATTATTATTACTTCGTATGTTTTCAAAACAAACAGTAATATTATAATTTTGCGCGCTAGATAATTTGATCGGTCAACGTTTCAACAAACAATTATTAACCTGTACGCTGCCTACACAATATATTATTACGATATTGATAATAATAAAATGATACGATATTATTATATAATAATGATATTCTCAGTCTCGCATATCGAAGAATGGATAAAAATAAATCATAAGATGTTAAAATCATTATTGTTCTAACCTTTCTGTAATAGCCTTTTGTAAAACGATCGATTCGGAATAATAATTACCCATTATTGCAGATTACTGAGCTGTTGCAGACTGGCCCGTGTCAGCCTTTCGATACAACACGGTAATAAATAATAATATTATAATATTATAAGGTCACCGTGGAGAACACAAAACGATTGTAAATGTCAAAAACTCTCTGATAACATACAAAATATACGACGTGTAGCTGTGTTATTTATTTTTTTATTATTATTATTATTATTATTACACGCCCGTCGACACGTGTCTCATTTGGAAGCTGATTGTATTGTCTCGACTATGACCCGTCGACACATCGCTTTTCATAACACACGTTCGGCACGCTATTAATTTACTTAAAAAACTAAAAACACTTAAATTAAGCGTAAATTGCATACCGTTTTCATTATTGTTTTATGTAAGTTGCGGCTCGACTGTTTTTTGTTCATATGCAAATTTCGTTGGGTACATTTTTCTCAAGTCAATATTTGTCTTCCATTTTTCAGACTTGGCACTGGCGATACAATGATTTTACTGTTAAATTGAGGTGGTTATAAGAATATTGTTTTCGGTGTGTTCAATAAATGTTGCTGATAATAATATTAAAAAAATTAATAATCTAACAAGTGTAGTCATTAAGCTCACTCTGCGAGCGTGCTAAATTCCCGGTTTCTAAGTGTACTACTGATTATCATATAAACTTTATATTTTTGTACATACTTTTTTAATATTAGATATAGTGGCATAGTGCCTATGAATCTATATTTCTACCAACTCGCGCTTTGATATTTTTAATACTGATTAGTACAAATGAATTTATACTTTGAATAGAACCGTTATTTAACTACCCATGTGTTTCTTGAAATGAAGTATTAAAATATTGATATTTATAAAACACTAAGTAGTTTGGTATATTTTTAGTTTTTTGTTTTAAATAATGAATAATAACAAATATTAAAAATTTAAAAGAAAAACTGAACATCAATAATCGTAACTGTATTTTAAATATACTGGTATCTATCTGGGGGAGGAACAGACGGGCACAAAGATGGGTTTGTAAAGAATTAAGAAACTTCTAAGAAACCTAAAAATTAGTAAATAATAGTGACTGGAAAAAATTGTTTCAATGAACACAAAACGATTCGAAATGTCAAACACTTCTCTAAAAAATAATATAATATGTATTTTTATTATGTAAATTATATACTTTGTTTCACGCCCGTCGACACGTATTTTATTTTGATAGGAAATTGATTTGAATGTTTCGACTAAAACCCGTCGCTTTTCATCACAAGTGCAGCAAATATTTATTTGTTTTAAAAGCATATACGTACACGCGGGTCACTGTAAATTGCCTGCCGTTTTAAACTTTTACTAAATGATTCCATTCATACGTTTTTCTGCCTAGTAGGTACATTAAAAATAAAAATACAGTTTACCAGAAAGTCACATTAATTTTTTATGAATACTTGGAATTCAAATCAAACCTTAATCGGTTTTTGATATCTATATCTTGGTTATGATTTTTAAAAAAATGTACACGTTTGAAATTTTCCAAAAAAAAATTAACACTAACAATTTCTATGAGTACGTGACATTTTTTTAAGTGTTACACTTTCTTGGAGTTGTTTATAGACATTTGAAATTTTTGTCTCTTGCATTGTCGGCAAAAAAATTTCCGATCGGTCAAAAAGTTTGAAATTTTCATACAAGTTTCCTCATATTATGTTGTTCTCGTAACTGTACATAATTTTTAAGGATATTATATAGTCACGATTTTTGGAAACGATTTTGTTGTTAAAAATGTATAAAATGTTCAATTCATTATTTATTCAATGCGTATAAGAAATATTAACTATTATAAATTATATAATAAATACAATGTTTCGGCAAAAACAAAATCAACCTACTGTAGCAATTACTAATAGTAGTAATAAAAATTACTTTAAAATAGCAATATCAAAAGTCATACCTATCATCGTGAGAATATATTTTACAATATTGTACTCGTCAAAAGCTGGCAGACATCTAGGCCCAGAATAGTACCTTTGGTTGGTGTTGGTATACCCGCCCTTTGCGCCTTTTCTTTGTTTTGTTTTTGCTGAGTTTTTATCCACCTACTTGCCATAAACAATGTAAAATATTTATGTACAACAGCGATAAACATCATTCATAGACTTTATCTTTAAGTCCTGAGTAGATAAGCATATTATATAATATTCTACGTTATACTGTAGTAGGTAGTCGTAGAAGTTGCAACTTTTAGTAATACATTATAACAATATTTGAATCTAGAATAATAATTATTCTAAAAATATTTATTAAATAATATACAAGTTACCGGCAATATGGAGAATCGGGTATTTTACAAAATACCTAGGAATTATATAAAATGACAAAAATCATTCGGAAATATACATAATACAAGCTTTGCCCAGCCGCCCAGGTATTATGTATAATGCCCATGGTGGAGTAGGAAATATGATAAAAATAAACAAAATTGAGTATCGCCCAATACCGGCGACTTTACTTACAAGTTATAGTTTATCGTGAATGCACTTACCGTGTCCGCGTGTGTACGATTTGGTGCAATGAAGATTGAAATTCTGAAGTTCTGAAGCAGTGATACGCCAGAAGTCAGTTCACTATATTATGTCAAAAAAGCTTGCAAATTTACAATGTTCCAACTGCAGGCACAAAAGTATAAAAAAACAGTCGCAAAGGAACAGTCGACAGGAACTAGCCAATGATTTTTAAAATGTGTTTGTATGATCAAGTATCAAAATAAAAAGTGCGTATGCCTTAAAAATAATGTTTTTTGGCCCTTCAAAATGCCATTTTTCTACAACATGTAGTAATAAGTTGATAGTAGTAAGTAAAATGTATAAATAATAGTACTTAATATAACAATAATATTAATATTGCAATACCTATGATATTATGATAAATTGTTTTTTTACTTTGCCAAAAAAAAAGTGGTATTTTACATAACGCCTAGGTATTTCATAAAATACCTAGCTAGGTCATATATAAAATAATATTGAAAATCATATGTTTTATTTACATTACCTAAAATGGGTCGGCAATATACATAATGCCTAGGTATTTTTCAAAATACCTCAATTATTCATATTGCCGGTGACATACACAATTATATTAAACGAATTTCGTTTGCCTGCTCTGGAAAGATTTGTGTGATTTCGACTTATACTTTTTTGAATCGAAATTTTACTTCTGATCTTTCTGGTATTGATTTTTTTGATTTTTTTTTCTTTGGAATCTGTTGAGTCGATGATGATAAAAAAAATTATCGTATGATTGTACGACACATATTTTCTTTAATTTTCGAACCATCCCAACAATTTAGATATCACGTTTTTAACCATGCAATTAAATGTATGCGGTTCCAATACCTATGCCAAAAGTGTGCGGTTTTGTACTGCACTCAATCACTGTACCTATTTCATATTGTGTAGTTGTTAAGGACAACGAGTCTTATAACCTGTGTTCGTTGCCCATTATCAGGGCAGTCCCGAAGCGAGGTTCTCGGGGGTGTCCCCCCAAGCGTACGATATCCATATTATGTCAGTTGGCACATTGATACATCAAGTATTCGAGTTGGCACTCAATTTTTTTCACAGTTTTCAAATAATTTTGTAAATACTACCAAGTAAAAATATTTCATAATAATGTGAAGGAATATGAGTTGATTTTCCGATTGCCAACTGTCCAACACAAACCTAACCTACTAAAATAATATTTAAGTAGGTACCTAACAGTGTACATATTATATTATATTATAACAGTGTACACATTTTCCTAAACATTCGCACAATCATTGAATTATTTTAATAATACTGTTATGATAGCCGACGAGAAACTGTTGTGCGCTGACGACTGTAATTTCTATTTATTGAAGTGATGGGTACATTTTATGTAGACTCGTCTCGCCCGGACAGGCCGACTAAGTGAAAAGATTCTAAAAATTGTTTCACTTATATTATATTATTATAGTGTCAGTATTGACAGTATTTACGGTTTAATTAATATTTTCATTGAAAAAATTCTATTCTAATTATAAACTAGTAAATATGTGATGAAAAAATGTACAAAAAAAAAAAAAAAAATAGTAAAATAAAAATATTTGATATTTTGTAACATGGTGTAAAATATGTCTACCATGCATGTAGGTAGGAGGTAGTCGTCGAGCGACGAGGGGCAAAATTGTTTTGAGTTGGCACATGATGCATCTCATTATCCGATAATTTAAGGTACCTATTGCAGATGCGGTGAAATAAAAAAATAAATAAATGAAAAACCTTTTTACGTCTCTTCATATAATATGTACATCGAATCTAGGACAAAATATCCAAGGAAAAAATATCCTGTACTAAAATATCCAAGTCAAAATATCCAAGGTTAAAATATCCAGGGATAAAATAATCAATACATGGGACAAAATATCCAAATAAAAAAAAATCATAAAAATGTATTATTAATAGTCATATAATTTTTTTAATTTAAATTCATTATATTGTTGTTTTTTGAATCACGTTTTAATATCATTTATTATCAATAATACTTTATAATACAGTAATAAAATAATAATAAAAATAATATGTTGCGTTATATATAATAATTATATCTTTAGTTATGGGAATTGTGTATTACACTATATCATCTAAAAGTTTTTAATAATATTTAAAAAAAATTGTTTAAAAAGAGGTAATAAATTATCGTATTATATTTGCTATTGCAATTAAAAAAATATCTAATTCTTTCTCACCATTAATATATTCAAGACAAAGGAGCTTAAGTTTTATTATTTTTTTTACTATTATTATCTTATTACTATATTACAAAGTATTATCAATGTTAAATGTGATTTAAAAATGAACAATGTATCTAAAGAAAAAAAGGAGGGAAAAATATTTTTTTTTATTTGGATATTTTGTCCTGTATATTGATTATTTTATCCCTGGATATTTTATCCGTTGGATATTTTAACCTTGGATATTTTGACTTGGATATTTTAGTACAGGATATTTTTTCCTTGGATATTTTGTCCCAATACCATGTACATCAGGTGTATGATTTTTTTTTGCATTTACGACGGCAGATTAGAACCCGAAACGATTATGAAAATGTAATATTATTCAACTGTCTGTCAACATTTATTGTACCCAATACAACGATACGATCGCAATTATCCGCTAAATTCGAATTGATAAAAGTCGCGCAAAACGACGCGCGTCGCGATTGTATTTCGCATCGGTCGGCCCGTGACGTCGCGGGAACGTTGTAGGAACGGTGCAGAGACGGTGCACGAACACTGTGGCGGTGCCCGATCGGAACACGCGTACCAGGAGCGTATGCCGCGGTCGCGACGGCCGCCGAAAACGCCGGGCACGACCAAATGCCGCCGCCGCCGCCGCCGCCGCCGACATCGGAAAACGGTAGCGACCGGTGCGTGCGACCCTGGTACGCGGAGCTCGTAACGTATACCCAGCGTATACCCGGAAAGCACTTCTCCGCTGTTTTCCCCAAACGAGTAGTTCCCCGCAAAATGTCGACGTGTAGACTGTAGACTCACGTGTCTTTCTTCGTCTTTCCACTTGAAATCATTGTTTTCGATCACTTTTTTTTTTTCAAACACTTTTTATTCACAGACGTCCTCGATTTTTTCCGGTACTCGGCCGGTAATCGGTTTTGGATTATTTTTCTGACGGGTTTTTTTTGTTTTTAGAGGACACCCGCAGCACGACCTCCGCCCGACGAAATGTGTACGAAAACATGGCGAAAACTGCTTCACGCGTTTAAGAACCACTCGGGAGCAACCAAATTTTCACGCCACAAAGAGGAGAACATCAACCGCGCAGCGTTGTTTGCGATTTCTCAAAACCAAAAAAACGGCCATTCGGGTAGGAAAAACTCGAAAAGAATAAACCGACGAAAACCGTTTTTCTTTTCGCGGTCTGGAGAGATCAAAAACAACGTCGCGCGGCCAATGTTCTCCCCTTTTCAGCGTGAAAATTTGGTTAGGCCCGTGCGACGCGAAACACTTTTTGGTATTTTACACACGTATTGCGAGACGACTACAGCCACCCCGGAAAGATCATTTTCAACCTTAAAAAGATTGAAAACTTATCCGAGATCGACAACGAATGAAGTGATGTATTTAATTAAGAAATATTTATTTTTAAAGTTATAACATTATACTATATATTTTGTGATTTGTTTTGTATTTAGGATAGGCTAAATGGACTGGCATTGATGTCTGTTCATCGGGACATACCCATCGACGTGGATGCAATTTTTGATGAAATGGCCCTTACCCCTAGGAAATTAGATTTTGTTTTGTGATCATGATGTTTTATCACAATAGTCTATAAGTTCTTATATGTTTTTTTTTTATACCACTTAAAATATAAATTTTAAATTGTTGTAATCCCGAAAAACTGACTAAGTGTGTCAGCAATTTATTCGTCGACTAGTAAACTGCTTACATAATTTGTTTGTTAATATCATGGTTTTATTATCATTAGAAAGTATATGATAAAAATATTATATACCTATAAAATAAAATACCTGATTAAAAACTCAAAAATTGTAAACGGTCTTACAAATATGGTATATGTATTTAATAAAGAGTAATTTAGGGGGCGGGGGGCAAAGCCTTCCACAGCTTCGTATTTTGAAAATTATCTGGACCCTCCCCTTGACAAATTCCTAAATACGCCACTGGTGAGACGGAGACATACACGATATTGTGTGCGGGTATAGCGTATGGTGACCGTGCTTCCTGTTTTTTTTAATTGAATTAAACAGGAAGCATTTAGTCTTGTTTTTACGCGACCGTCCAATTTAAATGCTGTTTTTCACCATTTTTTCACGAAAAAGTGATTTTGGCGATTGAAATCGTTAAAAATGTCATCGATGATAATCTGCTCCATATACTCTGTCCGCAACGGCCGACGGGGCATTTATATGAAGAGCGAATACCTATTCTGCAGTTTAATATTTATTATTTATTCAAATTTACCGTATATATACAATACATATAGTAGTGTATACTCCCTTTTTATTATTATAATACATACATGTTATGTATATGAGTTTCATGTTTTGACGACAATCAATACATTTTTTTTTCTAATTGCATAAGTGTCCTTTTTTTTAAACACGGTCACCCTAGTGTTGCGTAACCTCGAGGAGCTACTGCATTTTTCCCTATGGTGAGATCTGGAAAAAAAACAAACCTTGCAAAGTGCAGTTTCTTCGCATAAAGTATATCCATATTCGGTACACGTCAGCCTCTGTCTGAAATCACGTTACGCTACATAATATAACTGCAGAGCCTGAAGTCGATGTTAAAAATTGTTAAAAATAATTTAAGAAATCAAAAATGATATCGAAATTGAAATTTTTTATGATCAATAAAATGCATACCATGAAATTGAAAAAGATTTTAATCAATAATTTATACCGGAATACCTATAATAATCGTTTTGTAATTTTTAGTTTTTAAATTTGAAAAAAAAAAGTGATTTGAATTCGAAATTCGAAAATAACTGCTGATATTATTTGTCAATGTTTACGGCATATGCAGGACATTAGGTAATAAGAAATACCATAGGAAATACCTATAATGTTTTGTTTTCATAGCCTCTTTATTCACTGCAGCCTCGAGCAACCAGTACAGTTTCTTAGTTATTGAAAAGTCGTTGATTACTGATTATGCTATTTTATACAGTATAGGTACATAAGTTTATTAAATCTTATAAAAACTTTTGGAAAAAAATGTAATACCTACCTAATATACTATTTTTGTTTAGATAGATATTCCTAATTCGGGTACTTGAAATGCACATATTCTTGTATTCTGCTCTTGAAGATCGAGTCCGTCAACCCTGTTTGACATCTCAAATACAATTTTATTTTTACTTTACTTTCCGAATCCTAAGAAAATTTTTTTAGCTTTTAAGTTGGTGAAAAAAATCCGCACAACTTGTAAAAGTTAACTATTTTTTTTTTTTTTTGCCACAATTTTTGTTGAAATTGAAATTGAACATAAGTATGCCCAGAATAATTAGTATAATCATTAAATCATATTTTATAGTTATACATATAAGATTGCACACATCACTGTAAACAGTAAACGGTAAACGGTAAACAATTAATACTCAATAGGTATATTATATGACATAATATTTCGTTTACGGGTGAGCTGACTACCAAGTCTGGTCGTACACGTAGGTACTTATAAGTAAAGACCGGATTTTGCATAAAATGCATGTTGCTGTTTTCAACATTATATACATGCGGTCAATGAGTGTCCACAAATCATTACTCGATTGACTAAATATTAAAATTGTATAGTGCATATTTTTGCATATTCTGACGTTAGTGCATGTTCCGCATATTTTTTCATATTTTAACAAAAAACCGTACAAATATAGGTACACCCAACGATCTAAAAAGGTAATGAGCAAAAAAAAAAAAAAACAGATTATAGTTACGTTTATATAATATTAATATCAAACATTTTACATCTCAAAGAATATTCGGACGCTAAAAATAGGTTAGGTTATTGTGTTTCCAATTAACATACTACATTAAATTGTTCGTACTTTTTTCCTATTTATATCAGTACATCACCAATGTACTACTACTATTTAATTTTAATAAAATATTTTTTGCGATGTACCAATGACTAAAAATCAAATTACAATTTAACAAATATTACATACTGTATTAGGTACATATTTGTTATATTATACATCTTACCTTTTGTCAATGAAAATTTTAATAAAACTAATGAATAATTATCACTGCCAATTAAAATGAAAATATATAAAATGTAATAAAAATTGAAATTTTATTTTGCATGTTTTACATCTTCTTCTTGCATATTATTTTGACTTTTTTTAGTGCATGTTTGCATGCATATTTTAAAATTAAAAATGCATTTAAATCCGGTCTTTACTTACAAGTACCTATAATCGAGCTACTTGTCGCCACATACGTATAAATTATTGAGCTCATTACAATTATTATTGTACACTTATAGCGTATAAATACGGTTTATAATTATTTTATCCGAGTTGTCTGTATATTATTATTTATTGTTTAACCCGTCCTAGTCCTTCGACAATTTCGACGGTCAATAATCAATACAAGTAATACAACAATAATAACGGATTTGATGGCAAACGCCTTTTTCTTTTGGATAAATATAGAAAAATAATGCTCATACATAAAATTGTGTTTCAATGTTTCATTTCATCCTATGTTATAATAATGGTGGCTTAACAATATTTTGGCTTTTATGGACTGTTATTTTTGACCTCCCCTTTTTATCTACATATTTTATGTTCAATTATCTAGTGATCACAATATTTTATTCGGTTACACGTCTCGAATTGATAAGAGCCATCATAATAAGAGTACAAACACCAATTAATTTTAATTATATGTATACATTATACTAATTATGATGTTCATAATTAATTGAAAAGACAACATGCGTGATGAGTGAGTTACAATTTAAAAACTATCTAACTAGATAATTATTTGTGTATGAAAACGCCCCAATAGTTTCGGCGGACGTTTAAATGTAATTTTCTATGTTTCAAAATACTTAAGTTTCAAATGTTTAAAGAAGACGGTTTGTTGAAGTAGGTATACCTACATAATATAGTTGTAAGTTTCTTCTTTAATAAAAATTTGGTTATTTTTTGAAATCTAGGTATTACATTTTTTAGTATTTTTCTTGAATAATAGTTTTATTTAAAAAAGATTAGAGTGTAGCATATATAGGGTTATGAGTATGAAATATTTCACATGCAATTTTCACTTTGAAATATTTCAAACTTGAAACTTTCAGTCTTCTTGAAATTGTTCAATAAAATATTGAAAAACATAATATTTTAATTTTTAATTTTTGGTACCTTGTATCTCAGAATAGCCAGATACCAGAATAGCTAATAAGTATTTAATATTTACTATATTGGGAATAATCATGGGCATAAATTAAAAATTTACAGAGAAGGAATTTTTATATTTTATTATTTATTTGAAAAATCCAAATTATTAAAATTCTCAGGTGGTGCATTTGCACCACCTGGCCCCCCCTCCAGGCGTGCCTGAGTAATACTCAAATACAAAAAAAAATCTCTTTAGTTCTGAAATAATTTGTTATAGTAAAAAATTTGTTTATTGCATTTTATAAACATGATTCGTTCAATAATTAAAAAACTGATCAGCCATGTTAGTTCTTTTTTAGTGATAGTTGCACCACAACAATGAACTTTTTCCTACATAGTTGTATATTTTTAAAGCTTTACACTTACTAAACAGTTAAATATTTTTTAGTTAGATGAACCATTATGTAACTATCGTAACTAATTACTGATTGTTACCAATACAATTATTAATAGTTGTGAATGTACTTTTTATGAATACCTAGTTGAATAATGTCAGTAAAAACAAATTAAATGTTACAGTTAGGTATCGTTATGTATAAGATTAACTATCATTATGTTCTATGGGTGGAACCAATATCTATGAAAAACACACAAATAATGAATAGTTATAAGAAAATAATTTCTTCAAACGTTTACTAAATTATAAATATTAGATAGGTATGTACTTATAACTAATGAAGGATTACTTACCATTACTTCAATTCAAATACACATTTTTGGAGGAGTTAATTTAAATATCTAAGTCTACTCAAATTGTGATTAGCTCATGTTAGTAAAATAAATCAAATATTTTTATTCTTGCCATTAGTTGCCACATTTACTTATAAATGGCATGGTGTCCACATCTATAATAATAAGTTCATGTTTTTCCCAGAACATACATTTTTGGTTCCTTCACAATAATATAGGTACCTATGTATCTGCCTCTGCCAACATCTTCTACATGCCTAGGTACCTATTATTATCTACTAATTTAGTTCAACTACCTTCCTATGATTTGCCTAGATTACACAAATACAATGGATAGATAATATAGACATACATTGTTAGATGTTTTTGAAGGTACCTAAACAATATTAATTGTATTAATGTATTGACCGGTGTTGGGTAAATTACTTTTGAAAAGTAATGAAATTACGTTACCCACTAGTTCCATTAAATATTTTTATTTAAATTACATTCGCGTTAGCAGACATTATTTTTATCACATTATGTTACTTTTTCATTGACAAAGAAGGGTGTTACAAACTTACAGATAACATTAGACACCATTTAAAAAAAAATACAAAATCAGTCCACTACGGTTAATAAGTAGTAGGTATACTATTATATAAATTGTACAGCAGTATATGTGTAACACATAGACACATATACTCTGAGTATAAGGTCTATGGTAATACATTGATGATGTAAGTATGTTTATGCTAGAGTGTAGGTACTTTGTTAATGGCTAAATGTTATATATGGACAAAATGTATAAGTATTAATTCCTGGGATCTTTAATGATATTGTTGATTATTATCTAAAGCTTTC